TCAAGAATGGGTTCACAAAAGAATGTAAAATAAATCAGTGGAGAGCAGGACTACAAGAATTCACAATAGGGGTTTCTGTGCAGAGAAGTGGCACCATGCCTGGAGGGGAATGTGAAGATAATGTCTGTTTATGATAGGAGATTCTAGACTTAGTGCAAGTTATCAAAGGTAAAGAAGAACTACCTCACCAAGGGATATTTAGAGATAAGTAGGTGTACTTCTTGGTCACCACAATTGCCAAAGGGTGCTCCTAGTACTTACCAGAATGCACCTGGAGCTAAACATCCTGCAGAGCTTAGGACATTCTATCTCAAAGAAGAATTGCCTTACCCCAAAAGCATTGAGCCCACTTGAGACAATGGTTTATCTTGGACTCTGTTTTTATTTGATTTTCTAAGCAGAAATGTCTGGGCCTCACATGATGTTCCATGACAGCTAAAGCCAAGCCTTTGACAAAGCTGGACTACTCTTTGATTTGTCCACCTTAGATCACCCCTTCTAAGATCTCCAGGAAATCAATCCCTGTGACTCAGGGAGAGCCAGACACTGACTGATTTCTGCTCATCCTTGAGCCAGTCACTGTGACAAGGAGGATGGGGTTGTGCTGGTTAATAAGAGTCCTCTCTGGACTTGAGGGAGAGAGTGGCTCATTCTGCCTGAATTGCATGACTGCTCTCAGTGCAGGAGGTAGAATGGCTGCTTTCAAGGTATTCAGGACCCTATAAGGACCATCATCTTTGGACATGAGATAGGAATGATGAATGGTAAGAAACTATAGTTGTAACTCAAGCATTTTTACCCCAGTCAGGCCAGGCAAATAGAATAGCCTTGAGAGAAACACTTTTATTCTCAAGTACTTTCTTATCCTCTGGATCTCCTGAGCATGGTTAGGGATGGCATCAAAATGAGTGTGGCTATATCTCATCTTTTTCTTAGCAGTGCATTATGGTATTTATTATTGATTATTAACATTATTGATAATGTTAATCGGTATAATGTTTATTTCTGATGCTATTATAGGTATCACTAAAACAGTGCATTCCCAACTTTTAATTTATAATTAAATCTCAGGAAAGAAGACCAGCTAAATTCTTTATCATGGTCTCTCAGTTCCTGGGAGTTTTCTGCCCATTGCGAAGAAGAGCAGAAACCAGAAAAATAGGCTTTTAGTTAACATTCACCCATATCCCATTTAATCTATCTTAGGTACAATATAAAGAAAGGATACACTTTAATTAGCACTACCTCCTCTAGGTGACTAAAATTAGGGAACTGATTTTAGAGTACAAACTTACCCTGTGTACAAAAAATGTTGCAAATGACTCTTCTCAGAATTTCCTGATACATCCACAATCACAACAAATCTTTGTAATGGACCATTTAAGATTGCACACATTATCTCCATTCAGCAGATAAGGAAGCTAAGAAAAGGTGACCAGGTAATTTGTCCTAAGTCATAAAATTAATAAGTGGCACAACTGGGTTTCCAATTCCTCTTTTTCTGGCTCTAAAAATGTTCTACTTCCTGTGACTTTTTGAGAGATAGTAGAGGGAAAGGATTAGGAGGGAGATGAACATTCATTTGGTCCTTTTTCGGGGAATTTTGTAGTTACAGGACCAGAACAAATGGGACATGACACATTTCTCACATGTGCCAGAAGACGTAGAGACCCACCACAAAATATACTATGGCCACTAAGCACTAGTCATTTTCCACATAATGGCACTTGATTATTTATCAGGTCACTTTAAAATGTTTGTTCTTATCCATGACAATATTTTAGTTTGCCTAATACATGCATTTGATAGGTTTTTCTTTTTTTTTAATTTTTATTTCTTTATGATAGTCACAGAGAGAGAGAGAGGCAGAGACATAGGCAGAGGGAGAAGCAGGCTCCATGCACCGGGAGCCCGACGTGGGATTCGATCCCGGGTCTCCAGGATCGCGCCCTGGGCCAAAGGCAGGCGCCAAACCGCTGCGCCACCCAGGGATCCCTTGATAGGTATTTCTATTGTAAATCCATACTGTGTATCTGGACTGCTGCTCAAAAATATTTATTTATAAAGTATTGACATGATTATCCAAATTGAACTTAAGTTTAAAGACTTTAATTTTTCTATTATATAAATGGAAGAGGCCTTTAGATACTAATCATTTGAGTTATGGTACAGAATTACTTAGTATGTTTTTGCAGGTTTTTTCCTCTTTAGTTTTGCTTGTTTGTTTTTATAATTCTTGTTCTTAAGGTGGAATCCCCATAATTGGAACCCTCAGAGAAAAATCACCAACTCAGGGACACCTGGGTGGCTCAGCGGTTGAGCATTTGCCTTTGGCTCAGGTCATGACCCCAGGGTCTTGGGATCAAGTCCCATATTGGGCTCTCTGTGAGGAGCCTGCCTCTCCCTCTGCCTGTGTCTCTGCCTCTCTCTGTGTGTCTCTCATGAATAAATAAATAAAATATTTGAAAAAAAATCAACTCAGGATATCCTAGAATTTTTATTCCTTTTTTTTAGTTTTAGTAACTTTTATATGGTCCCCAGCTATATTCTTCTCTATGGCATTCTGCTTTTAAAACAAATCTGTTCACACTACTAGAAAATCACGTGTAGAACTGGGACCATACCTTTTGTCCCTTATTGCTCTTTACTTGTCTCCTATCTTAGCTGATGAATTGGTTGCCTTATGGTCTCTGATCTGAAGATGCTGTGAATAGACCTCAAGGGCTTCCAATACATGTTTATTTCTCCTCCTCTACTTCAGTGGTGTCATATGACATCTACCTAAAAGTTTATCAAAAGCACCTTTTCCTCTGTAATTTTTTTTTTCATCATTTTTTTTTTTTTTTAATTTGGAGCACTTCTGTCACTTCCAGTCCATACTCCTTTTCTGAATATTTTTCTCTGCTGGGTAAAATATGTCAGGTTTGTGCTCTTGCCGTGTCATCTGTGGCACCTCCTCTAATTTTGGTGTCATTTTTATTTTATTGTGTCCTATGCCCATTGGTCATTATACTTTGCTCTTAGCTCTTTATCGGAGCTTTTATTACGAATCCCATTTTCTACTAGTAACCTATATAGGGAATATCTGAATGATGTTATAAAGCTCTTTGCTGTTGTTGTTTGCCTTTTTTATTGTAAGGAAAAGGAATGTAGACTTTTCTTCTGAGAATATTTTAGGCAGCCTGTTATAGTAGAGATGGAATGGAGTTCAGAGTTTGACTGAACTGAATTTGAGTTGTGATTCCATTACAAAGCAGCCGATGTCCTTAGAAAAGTGATTACAATTCTCTAGGACTCAATTTACTATTCTATTAGGTAAGGATAATAATACTGACCTTACCAGGCCATTGGAAAGCTTAAAAATAGCATATGTAAGTAGTATGCATCTTCTGACACACAGTAAGTATTCGATTATTATGGGCATTGTAATTATTAGTTTATTATAATTATTAGGTGGTCCATTTCATACTTGAATTGACAACTAATAAGTGATAATAATACATTTAAAGGAGATGCTGCAGAAAATAAGCTCTAATGGCTGGCCTTAAGGAGTTTGTAATCTTTTAAAGAAGAAGAAATATATACCAAAAACATGTAAGACATACACCAACATTCATTATTTTTGACAGTAATTATGTGACAGTTATAAACACTATAAATATTACTTAAAACATCACAAAACACCCTCTGTGATTTATTTATTGTGGTGATTAGGGAATTGGGAGTTAAAGCATTAGGGGTAATACCCCATCTGCTCTGCTGGGAAGGGACCTACAGCAACTGGCACAGAGGTCCTTCCCACCCTGGAGGGTGCCCTTGTAACCTCAGTGCTCTGCAGCCTCCATGAGAGAATGTGGCAAACGGTGGAAGAAGGTTGTGGTCAATCCTCTGAGGTAGGCTTGGTCTTGACCAGGCTGATAGCCAGAGGCCTCTTAGAGGAGAGACATTTGCAAAGGTTCATGTGGTGAACGGGGCTTTCAACAGGCAGAGGTGAAGAAGGATGTGCCAAGAGTCTTCTGGGAGCACTCAATGTAGCAGTGTACATGTGGGGGCTGACAGGAGCTGCTGGGATATAGGTTTGTGTCAGATGAGGGGGCCTTGGATTTTTCTCCTCAGCAGACAGGGTGACACTTTAAAGGGTTCAAGTGCTATGCTATGGTCAGAGCTCTGGATTGATAAGGCTTCCTCTGTAGAATGGTACAGGACATTTTGAAGTAAAGAGAGTATGTCAAGACTCGGGGTGGGAGGCTAGTGCATGAATCTGGAAAAGATCGCCTGAGAGTAGTGACAGAAAATGAAGGCAGTAAAGGACATGCGTAGGCAACATCAACAAGTTAGAGTGACAATCGGCAGTATCATGCGGAAGGCATGCGGAGACTGCAGGTCCCAGCCTTGGTTGTGAGGCGGGAGCGGCTCCAGTAAGAAAGAGGGTGTCAGTAGGTTCAAAAGAAAGGGCAGCTAAGTATCACATAAGATCCCACGGAGCTTTTTGGGGAGGTCACCCAGTGTCTAGGGTTCGTAAACACAGCCTCAGGTGGGTCTTCACTCTCGTCTGTAAGACAGACAGCTTGAGTGGTTCCCATGGCTATACCGTGAGGGCAAACATGACACCTGCCATGCTGGTAAAGTGGTGCACCGTAGAGGGAGTGCGCATTCCTACCGGCCATCGGAGCCAAATCTCTTCCATAAACTCATGGGAGCCTCACAGTTCCAGTCTAGCAAGTGTTTTGTGTGGGCTCTTTGTTTCCCAGGACTGGCATCAAAGGGAGCAAGCGATTACATGGGAGGGTCACTGACTGATGTATTATAGGGAAATCCCATGGGGAACCTGTTTTTCTTCAAATGTTGCTCCATTGCATGAAGTATTATAAGTAAAAGAAAATGTACACTGTTCATTGAAGGGCGGGTGAGAGGTAACTTGGTACAGAAATGTTGCTGTTGCCACGTCTGATCTTTGAGTAATGCTCACTTCCCCCCCTCTCTCCCAATCTCTTGGTCAGTGTTCGTCAGGTTCAACTCCAGCCATGGTTTCCCAGTGGAGGTCGATTCTGAAACCAGCATCTTCCAGCTCAAGGAGGTGGTTGCTAAGCGACAGGGGGCCCCGGTTGACCAGTTGCGTGTGATTTTCGCTGGGAAGGAGCTTAGGAATGACTTGACAGTGCAGGTGAGTGTCCCTCGGTGGATGGTTCCTGGGATGCAGCCAGCACCAGTGCTTACGCCGCTTCCTCTGCCAAGCTGACATTCATGCCTGAGATCTAATAGAATAAATAGTGCCTGGGGATTCCTTGAACTTTACTCCACACCGCTTCATTAATTCTGACCTTCTTAATTATGCATTAAAACAGCAAGCAGGAAGGATTGGAAGAACAACTGTGGGTGAGAGAGGGAGAGAGAGAGAACACACGGGCTGGGCTTGGTGAATAAATGTTTACTGACTACAGGAGCAGCAAGGCGCAATTTCTGTGTCTGTTCAATTTCTACCTTACTTATTCCATTTGAATCTTAATGAAGAAGGATTCGAATAAATTGTTCCAAATCAGGCTGCTCAGTCACTGCACTGTGAGGAATCTGTAACCCAATTGTGACCCCTGGAGGATAATCGGAAGGCTGCGGCTGCAGCTTGCTCCAGGAGGTCTGGGGCTCAGGGCCCTTTTAGGACAGGCATTGAGAGATTCCCCACCCCATCAAAACCCCATCAAAATCACAGCTTCCATGCTGGCGGCCAACGAAGACAGGAACAGAGCAAAAGTCCCTCTTTGTGGGTATTTTCTCCAAGCTGCCCTAAAACCGTCCCTAGAATAGACCACTGAAATGTCAGAAAGCAAGCAGTGTCTGTCCTCTCCTGACACCACTCTCGCTGCTTCTGGTACCCATGACTCCTACTGTCCTCTCACCTGGGTGTTTCATTCCCAAGGGTGATTTCTGTAGCAAGAGGGGGAGAGCAGGTGAACTGATGAGCAGCGCCCTCCCCTAGACGTGGAGCACTGTTATCTGATGGGGATACCAGCAGATACTGTTTCACATGGATTGAAGTCATGCTTTGCGAAAGCATGAAAGAGCAGATGGTTTCTGTGGCTGGTCAGGGGATGCTGAAGGACCCGTCAGACACAGCTTTCCCCTTTCTCAACCAGCACAGATTAATTGCACCTATGTTTCTAGCCTTCTTGGGGGCCCACTGCTGTGCGCGGGAGGGCTGCTGGGTCTGGCTACCTGGTGCCCCTCCTGTATGGACATCCCATCATTGTGTCTTCTCCTGATGATGCTTACAGCTTCTTGGTGAAATGCTTTCGGAATGTGTGCCTGCCTACAAAAAGAAGCCATAGAAATGCAAATTGAGCTCTGGCCCCAGTGGTCTTTGCTGATGGCTGGAGGCACATGTTACTGTGCACAAACTGCTGTGCTTTGCTTTTAGGCAGTTTGTTTTTATAAGGGAAGTGCCTCTGCTAAAAAAGCATTTCGCTTTTTATTTTTTTATTCCAGCCAACTAAAAAGCTTTTTACCGTACCTGCCAACCTCTAAATCCAAGAATGTTCCCTTCACAAATAAATGATTTTAAAACGGCTCCTTGAACCAAAATATTTTATATTACCAGGAGTTTTGAAGTTTCAGGTTCTAAAACTCTTCACCTCTACCATTAAGCTGATAGGTTAGACTAATTGCTACAGATGATTCATTTTACCAACATATATGTGAAGCAGAGAGCAAGGTTCTTATCTCTCAGAGTGGAAGAATGAATCTCTCTCAGGACAAAGGAGAGTGAATAAAGCAGTAAGAGTGAGAGGGGTCCCGACAGGGTGGCCACTGAGGGCCTTTAGGGTTGGTCTTTTATTGAAAGTAGCCAGGAAACTTAAATCTTTTTAACACCTCTATTGATAACCATCAAGTAAGGACTAGTGATAACACCTTTAGAGTCTGGTGATTCTTTGTTGGTCACAAGTAGCTGTTATAACAAGACCCCACCTCTGACACCTAGGGTAGAGTGGTCTGGTTTGTTCCCTCATCTCTGGTTTTCTTATACCTCCTCATTTGGGGGATTTTTGTGAGCCGGCTAACATAGCCCCCCATCTCTCATACCTAGCCCTGCCTAACCCTTACTCATATGTATAAGATATATATTGATTCAGATTCTTTTCATTTTGACAAATTCTTCCAATGTTCTGGGCTTCCTGGGGGCTCATAAAGAAAGGCAGACTCATTTCCTGCTTTTGTGGTGACTAGTTAGGGGCCCTAAAATCAACAGAAGTATTAGGTTAAACCATATGGCATAAAACTATTAGCAGTTTCATGTGGTTCAACATAAAAATGCCAAACATGAGAACCATAATATAGAAGCTGAAACTAAGTATTACAAGATTTTAACGGTAGAGAAAACGCATCTATCTGAGTGCAAATCACCAAGACTTCATGGATGAATTGAAACTTAAGTAAAATCCCAGGGTTAGAGAATGAGCATGGAGTGTACTTGCAGAACAGTATGAGTCCCTGTTCTTCTAGAAGCTAGAAGAGATGTTGAAGACTGGGCAGGAAGGGAGTTTAGAGCTGTATTTTTACAGAGGTTTCATGCATTAAGAGCTAGAGCAAAAAGGGTGCCATGCAGAGAAATGGGAGTCTGGAGATCCAGTCTGGTTGTAGGAAGAATGAGGAACCTTAACCTGCATGAAAAGTGGATGAAAAGGAAATATATGTGGAGTTGTCTAGCGGGCGTTTGAGAACCTAGCTGTGTTGTTTAGGAGCTCACTTTATATTTGAGGACTAGCTACATAGAGGTAAATATTACAGCTATTGGATTAGTTGTGATTGCCAAAGGGACAGAGGACAGAGGCTTGAGTAGGTAGGTCTCTTAGACAGTGAGGGGAGAAGCCAGTAAAGGAGGCATTATCCATCCAACTGATGATTTTGAGGATATTTTAGAAAAGTAAATTACTGGTAAAGAAGTACATGTACTATGAAAAGATGGAGTTGATGAGAAGGAAAGAACTTTTGGACTGGATGGCTATAGTGGTGACTCTAGTCCAGGGTTGTGGTTAGTCAAAGCCAGGCTGTTGGGTTCAGCGTGAGCTGGGACTGTCATGAGGGGACTCAGCTTGTCAGTGAGAGGAAGGAGAGGAGGAGGGGAGTTCCTGGAGGAGCCAAGGGTCCTGCATTTTGTTCCACGTGGGCTAACCCTTGACCATGTGGATGGCTGACTTTTATATGGCTGTAAGCAGTGAAATGTGATTTTATATTCTGATTATTTTTCACTTAATGTTGTATCATAAGCTTTTCCATGTTATGTAATATTCATTTCTAAGTGCATGGATTATACTCTATGGGGTGTTTATATCATAACTCTTAAGTCTTTAGGGACTACTTGGTTTTAATACTACAAATTAAGGCAAAACAACTTTTTTTAATGTATCTTATGTACTTAGAGAATGCGGCCTCTCTGTATTTCAGTTTGGTCATCTATAAAGTGGGAATAATACTAGTACCTATCTCACTGGAATTTTGTGAAGACTAAATTAGTTAATTTATGTAAAGCTCTAAGAACAGAGTACAATATATAGTAAACATTATATAAATGTTAGCAATTATTACCATCCTCATCATCATGATTGTCATCACTATTATTAGGGACTACTTCAAAATCTAAGAGATCACCTTAAGTAATACAAGACTACTTTCCATAATGAATTATGATGAATGTATCTGCAATAAATTAAAGAGCTAAGGAATGACAATGGGATACATATTTGACTGAGATTCACAACCCTGAGATCATGACTTGAGCCAAAGTCAAGAGTTGAATGTTTAACCAATTGAGCCACCCAGGTACCCCTTATTATGAACATTTTTAAAATCAAAAGAAAGTGTTTTATCTTTTTAACTGGTAAAGGACATTTCTTAGATGATAACCTGTTATCAAAATTTTAAACAATCTCATGGAATTCTCAGTTCCTAGAATATATGTCTACAAATGTGTTTGAGAAGCTCTGTTAAAGTGTAATCATTTCTTTATACATTAATACATTCTTTCTTGCTATTATTAGCAAGATTTTAAGAACTTTAAGGAATTAAAGAAAAATGGATAAAATATGAATGTCAAAAAATAGATGACCTGGCATAGGCTTTGTTTCTGTGAAAATGGAATAGACAAACTTTTACCTATTCCTCCTCCTAAGTACAACTAAAACTCTGGATGTTACATACAACATATACAGACATATGAGGATTCTAAAAGGTGACAAGAAAAATGCAAACTCTTTAGGGACCTCAGGACCAAAGAAACAATACAGGTATGGGTTTGTTAGGTTTTCCTTTTACCAGAAACATCCTAGACTTGGAGATGATGAAATTGGTAACCTAGAAATGCCAGCACGTATAAACCAAAAAAAAAAAAAAAAAAAAAAAAAGTACTCTAAAAACCCTGCTTTCTATCCAAAATACCAGGAACAGAGTAGCCTAGCGATATAGAAAACTTTAGACAATAACCATACTTTTGCAGCTAAACAGCACAGAAGAACTGTGGCCCCTCCTTCATCCCCACCAATAGTAATGAAAGCTAGAGTCTAGATTACCTTCCTTGTGAGGCTATAATGAGTGCCTTACACACTTGCTCCCTTGACAATAATAAACTACACCTCTCTCTCTTCCTGCTGGCATGGTAACACAAGAGCCCTAGAGGTGAGTTGGGATTTTCACTGTTGCTAAGTGCCTACAGGGCCACTGGTACCACAGTGCCAATGGAGATCATGTGTAGTGCCAGAACATCACTCCCACCCAGCAATAATGAGGAGTCTTCATTTCAACAGAAATTGAATGGAGGTCTGGACTACTATTTCCATTGACAATAATGAGGTAGTGATTCCCCTTTCCTGCAGAAATAGGGTCAGAAAAAGCCAGCTAAAGCAGAAGGTTTAAATAAGATTCAGAGTCTCATAAAATTAGAAAATCCCCAGGTTTCAAAGGAAAACCAGCAAGAATCAGGAAGATCTCAAATTGTATGAAAAGAATGCTAATATTGAGATGACAGAGATGTTAGATTTATCTGACATTTTAAGCAGCCATGATAAAATACCTCAATAAATAAGTACCAACAGGCTTGGAAAAAATGAAAGGATGATTCTGAGAAAATAAAAAGATATAAATAAGAATAAATGGAAATTATAGAATTGAAAAATACAA